GCTTTGGAGGATTTTGCTTTACTCCTCTTTATATTTTAAAGTCCCACCCCCCCACTTACAGCTTATTCTCACTAAAGAATTCTTTTCACAGTGCCTATCACCATCTTGTTTTTTTCTACACATTATTCTTTGTGTTTTGTATGTGTTACATGTTGTGTGTTCTGTGTGTGTGTGTTCCTGTTAAATGATTTGATGTGATAATTCCATTTTAGTGGCTTTTAAATAATTCCACGAGTCTGTGCTACACAAATGAGAATAGGTAAATATTTTAGATGTGTACTTACAGAAGCTATGGCATATAACCTTATACCTTAGTTATATATTTCCACTTTATCCAGTTTTAACCAACATTCACATATGATCCTTTTCTAGATTATGGTTGATTAAAAGTACTAGACCACATAAATACAAGTATGACCATACGTTGCTTTTAAGAATAAATGATCGCCCAGTAACGTGGTCTAAGTAAAGTGTTCTCTTTTTTAATTATGTAGTCCTCCTCGTCATCCTCATCACAGCCTCATTCTAGCCACTGCAGAACGAAGGCCTCATCATTGTGTCACCATGCATCCCTGCCCTGGGTCAAACGTAACCATGTAGGCCCTGCAAAGGCTACCAGTCCATCTCTCCGTCTTCGTCGCTGGCGACCCTTCTTACGCCTACCATCTATGGGTCTCCATTCTGTTGTAAGTGTAGTCAATCTTCCATCTCTTCTTCCAGTGACAAGGATAGTCCATTTTTTCCCTTACACTTCTTCAGTCTTCAAAGTGCTTTTCTCTTGGTTCACTCAACCATTAGCTTTTTCTCCCCCAATAAGATTGCAAGCATACCTTTATGCTTTGCAGTCTAGCTTGACTTTCACCAGTGCCTTGGTGAACATTCATCTTCCCACTCCATATCCCGCTAGCATAAGGATGCCTGCCTTTTGATGAGTACTGATCGACATTCATGATAATGTTTAAGTTCCTGTCTGTTGTTAAAGTAAATATGTATTCTCTTAACCTTCATCTCTCTGATTTCATTTAGTTGACCCAGGTCAGCCAATGCTGTGTACCTTCTGAGTTCTTTGCCATCTCTTTATTTTTTTCATGTTTCTGAACATGACTGTAGTCTCTTGTCATACTCTGGGGTCACTTTACTTACTCTTTCCTTAACCTAATCCTTCATGGTGTAGGGTGTTTCATCTAAGCTATTTTATTCCCTGAGGTGTCTCAGGTACTTGGTTTAATCTTGATCCAATCTTCCCTGCCTATTCAGTTTCTAAAGATCTTTTTCCAAGTAGGAGGTGAAGATTTTCTCCTTATGAATTGCTTCCCATAAATTTTATGATTTCTCCTTCTTAGGTTGATAATATTAACAAACTATTAAAAAAGTACATTTGTTCTTATAATCTTGCTAATTATCTTAAATGTTGAGACTGATGATGGAATTCTAATAATTCTCATGATTGAAATAAACTGTAGGGTTAGGCAACTCCAGCTCTTTTCTTTCTGATATTTTAGACTGTTAATAGCAATGACTGTGGTTTGGCAGAGCCTACTTAGAAATGCTATATTTGAAAGATTTGGTGTATGCTATCCATTTATAAGAAACTTGATGCTTCTGGAAATCATCATAACTTTTGAAGCCAGAGGAAGTCTGATTCCTTATATATTTAATGATAAAAAAATTAAAAGTTGGTGTCAAACATTCTTTCTTTCCCCTTATTTACTCTTCCAGAGCTAGACTCAAACTGTGAAGTAGAGTCTTGACATGTTTCCTTAAATATCTGTTTCCACCAAATGTCAGTATGGTCATCAAAATAGCCTTTCATTTATGCTGAATATCAATCAATAAACTGCTGTCTATTTCATTTTCCCCATTGGATCACAACATGCATTTGCCATTTTTATTCATTTATCGATTTAGTATCTGTTGCTTCCCTACTGTGCCATACACTGTTTGGCATAGTAGGAGACATAAGGTGAATTATATGATCAGAGTAAAACCCTAATTTTGTAAATACTAACTTGGGCACAATTGACTCTAAATATGACTGATTCCTTTGTACTTTTAAAATATTCTAAATAAAAGTGAACATACCATAAAATTGGTGTTTCCAGTTTTATATGATTTTACATAATTTTGATCTTTGCTCTCCATATTAATTTTGTTGCTTTATAGCTTCATAAGTATTTTCGTAGCATAGCATGGATTCTAAAACTACCCCACCTGAGTTTGAAACCAGATTCCATCACTTACTAACTGTTGAACAGTTTTCTTGAGAATAAATGAGTATATTACCTATCTCATAGAGTTTATGTAACAATTAATTGGTCAGTACATTTAAGGTACTTAAAACAGTGCCAGTGCCTGGCATATATTAAGTGCCATATTAGTAGAAATTAAATTTAAACTGTCATTTTCAACAATTTGAAATTTATATTTAGTATTTAATTAATTTCTCTCATTGATTTGTTACATTATTTTTAACTGTTTGAGATAATAATAAGTGTTGTATTGTAAATTAGGGAACTTCATAAAAAATAATACATAAAAATAAATGTAGTCAACATGATCCAGTCTATAGCTTCTGGTTTCTGCCTTCTTGGTCATGTTTTGAAATTGAAGACTTTGCCTTTTATGTATTGTTCTTGTTTTTAGTGGAACAATTTTTAAGCAGTTAGATAACTGCAAATTTCACACTCTCAGACTAATGAAGTTGATCAAACGGCAAGGCTCCCAGTAGGTACCAAGGTTTTGTGGAAGGCTTAGAAGTTTTTAGCTTTACTTACCTTTTATAATAAAGTTTGAAGGCTTTTCATGCCCTCTTTTGAGTTTTATATTTTTAGTATGCACTTTTGGATAAAAGGTATAATGACTCACCATTATGAGTCACTAACATTACTGATTTCTTTTATTTGTGATAATGTAGTATTAATATTGTGACGTTACATAATGCTTTTATAGCACTTAACAATTTACAAAATATTTTCATGCATTTCATTTAAATTTTAAAACAGATAAGAAACCCAGTGTACACAGGGATCGGGTATATATTCAGGTCTCTGACCCTCACTTGTACTCCTTTATCCTCTAGCATGGTTGTATTTACTGACAAAATATGAAAAATAGAAGCTATAAGATGTATTCTTCTTAAGAAGAGACGGTGTTAAAATCATTTATAATTTTTTAAAATGCAATAGCTCAAAAAAATTAAAATACTTGATATCCTGTTGGAGAATTGTCTTAAAATGAGTAAAACAAAACTCTTTTCTAGTTGGGTAAAATATCATTTCTAGTATTTTTTTGTTATAGAACTGAATTTATAATTTGTAGAATTGCCTAGGTTTAGCCTTGAAAAATTGGATTCTCTTCTGGTCATTAGTAAAACGATATTGGATTTGAGTGATCACTAATATTTTTTGATTCTCTGACCAGGAAAGTAAGGAAATTCATTATCACTATCTTTAAATATTTGAAGAAGTATCCTGTTCAAGAGGGATTAGGCTTTTTCTAAGATAATGGAAAATACCGGGAGACATATATTAGTCTCGGTATGAAGGATAACTGCAGCAAAACTGTCCAAAGACAGAACGGACTGCCTCCGAACCTAGTGCCAGTCCCCCGTTCTCCTAGGGGCCACTGCAGATGGGGCTGCACGGGGGAGGAGTCTACTACTGGAGCAGCAGAAGTAGATCATTTTGTTTCCTACCAACAGTGGAATTCTTTCATTCTAAATTGAAGTTAAGGAGAGCTAGTTTGTCACATTAATGTTATGTTGAGATTCTCCCATTCATAATTGGAGGGAAATAATCTCTGAAGAATAATGTGAGATTAGATGAGTCACTCTATCTGTACATGTTTTAGAAACATTCAGTAAATCCAAAATAGTAATGTTTATTCTGTCGCTTTCAATTTTTTCCTTCTGAAAACTTCTTAAAACTACTTTAAAAAAAACTACTTAAAATTATAAAATTATCTGAAGGTGAAAAAAGTATAAACTGTACATTTCAGACACTATTATGTTATAGGATGTTAATATGAAATGTGATTTGACTTATGCCTCTTCAAAATGTTTGCCTCTAAAATTTGCACTTGCGTTTAATAGTGATTGTGTTTTATTTCAAACCATTTAAGATTTGAGATATAGCTAATGTACATTAGTGTTAACTGTGCAGCTTATTGTGTGTCATAGACAGTGCCATTTAATCATGTATTGATTTTGGGTAACTTACTTACATTTCTAAGAAATGTAGCAGATATTGTTTAATGCAGATAGAATTTGGTAAACTAAAAAAAAAAAACAACAAAAAAAACTAGGTGTAATTTAATTTTAATTTCAAGTAGTTCACTAAGAAAGCAGCCCAAAAAATCATAGGTTACAGTTAATTGCACTTTAATTTGCATTTATCTTCCCCCCCCTTTTACTCTTTTGGGCTGGTTTCCTGCATTTATTCATTTTTAAACTTTTTGAATCTATAATGAATAATGAGACTTATTTTATTCTAAGACATATTACATTGTTCAAAAAAGATTATCAAGTTCAAATCATTAAGGAAAGAATTCACTTTCTTGGTGTCTTAAAATTCAGCTTGAAAAGAGTTTCTTTAACTGTTTATGTTATAAATTTTTTTAACCTTTCTTATTTCAAATACCAAAAATTAGACAAATGAGTTCATGCATTCATTTCATTCAGCAAGTATGCATTATGTATCTACTAGGTACCAGGTGTTACGCTAGGCACCAGGGCTTCCAAGGTTCAACGATATTAAAGGTGTTTAGATCAGTTGAGATTAAGAAAGATAGGCTTTTAGCTGATGTTTTCCTGGTTAATGGGTGAGGACATTGTCATAAATGTGGTCATGTTCATTCTTTGTCTACCATATCAAAGATTAATAAACCTTGAATTATATTGGATAAATGTTCTCTCATGCCATTTCATATTTGTATGTGTTTACATGTACTTGATTGATTTGACTACTAACATGCATAATATGTATTTTTCCCTCCTATTTCAGGCACCAAGTATAGATGAAAAAGTAGATCTTCATTTTATTGCATTAGTTCATGTAGATGGGCATCTCTATGAATTAGGTAAGAACTATTTAAATTTACTCTGGGGAGGTAAATGATAAATGGGAAAGTCTCTATATTAACAGGACTGTTGGCATTTATTGTGTTTAATATTAATTGCCCTTTAACATTGAGTAGGCATAATGAAAGTTTTCCATTTAAGATTTTTTACTAGAAAAAAATAATTTTTTTGATTGTTTAAGCAAGTTATAATTCAAAGAAGTGTGCATACCACCTTTGTATTTCAAGCAAAGCAGAGAAGTAAAAATCATAGGAAACTACTATAGATCACTTCAGCGTTCTTTTTTTTTTAAAGATTTTATTTATTTGACAGAGACACAGTGAGAGAGGGAACACAAGCAGGGGGAGAGGGAGAAGCAGGCTTCCCGCTGAGCAGGGAGCCGGATGCAGGGCTGGATACCAGGACCCTGGGATCATGACCCGAGCCAAAGGCAGATGCCTAACGACTAAGCCACCCAGGCACCCCGGATTCCTAATAAATACTAAAGGAATATTGAGCAAGAACTATTGAGTTAGTGAATAGAAAACAGTGATTATATATAATGTATGGTGATTAACATAACATAATAAAAAAATATTTGTGATAGAAAATGCTAGCAGTTATTAAAACACACACACACAATACTTGCTAATACAGAGAACATATATTATGTATAGTTATTTGTGATTTGGCAATATAGAATCACCTATGTAATGAAATAGTAATCTTCAGGGGCTTGATCATATATTTCTCTTGCCCTGCAGTATTCCCAGATTCTTGAAACATGCTCTCTACTTATCTGAGAGCTTTGGCCTTTAAAGTACATTCACCTCTGTCCATTACCTCTAAACTCAGTCATGATGAGAGGTAAATAAATTTTGAAGGAACACACACACACACACACACAAAGAAAACAGTGATTAAGAGAACAGCATAGGTTTTTAAGAAAAAAAAAAAATCATTTTGAAGTGACCTTATTTGTTTAAAAATAAGGCTATATGATTGTAGACATGTGCAAGTTAATTACTACAGGACAATTATTCCACAAAGGATAGTGGTTATCTTTAATATATTTATTCCATACTAAATTGTAAGGTTAACTGATAAAAGGAACTGAGTTATTCATCTTTTGGTTGTCACCTCTTCCTTTTCCTTAGGACTTCATGTCATTAATGGCATATGTAGGAGGGGAGAAGTAACATATTTTTAAATAGATAAAATTACCCTTTATGGATAAATTAGAACAATGGGTTTGGAAGTGAATTCAGAACTGATTGAATCATCAGATTAGAAAACTAATAACTAACAATTTATTGTCTACCTGGAGTAACAGGAATACTCTGAAACATTAAAAAATTTTTATTTTGAAATAATTTTAAATTTTTATAAAAATTATAGAAATTGTATACAGAGTTCCCATAAACCCTTTACTCAGATTCCCCAGATTCAGTTAATATGTTTGAACCATTTGAAAATAAGTTGCAGACACAATGCCCCATTATTCTTTAATATTTCTGTATGTATTTCTTCAAAACAGGTGGATACTGTCTTACATAACTGTAGTATGACTGTCAAAATCAGGGAATTAACATCGATCCATATTACAATTGAATTCACAGACTCTATTCAAATTATTCTGATTTTTACAATGTCCTCTATAGGTTTGGAATCCAATCCAGGATTGTGTGTTGTATTTAGTTGTCACATTTGTCTCCTTTAATCTGGAATGGTTCCTCAATCTTTTCTTTTCTCTCATGTCTTTGACATTTATTTTTAAGTGTACAGAGCAGTTACTTTGAGATTATTTTTCAATTTGGGTTGTCTGATATTTCCTCATGATTTATCCATTTTTGGCACATACACCACAGAAGTGGTGCTATGTTCTCAGCACATCATTTCAGGAGACTCATGATGTTGATTTGTCCCATCACTGGTGATGATGACCTTTATCATTTGGTCTAGGTGGTATCTGCATTTCTCCATTATAAAGTTAACAAGTTTGTTAAACTTGTTAATATGTTATAGTTATTAATTAGTAAGTAATGAATAAATATTTTATCAGGAGATACTTTGAGCTTATGTAAATGTAGTTTCTCATTAAGCCTTTATCAGATTTAGCATCCATTAATGATTTTTAATTGATTATCACTATGATGGTTGCCAAATGGTGCTTTAAAAAAAAAAATTCCTCCACCATTTCCTTTTTCCCTTATTCATTCATTAATGTCAGAATGGACTCATGGATTCATATTTCACTCAAAAGGTTACATACAGTTGATTATCATAATTTATTTTGATGCTTAAATTTTCCCCAAATTGGCCTTGAAGGGAACCCCCTCAAGCTGGCCCTTTTGTCTTTTTGATATGTTTCTCTCATTCTTCAAGCACTTTCTCACTGTCAGGTAGAATAAGACTAGACTCATCTTTGATTTTATGTGCCCTGGCCCTGTTATTCAGTTGCTTCTCCATAGAGCCCTGGTTCCTTTTAGTGGAAAATGATATTTAGAACCAATATCTGGGTGGTAGGTATGCTCATTGCTACTAAGATATCATTGCTTCTAGGCCCTTTCAGAGGACAAAGGTAGGAAATGTTTGTATGTATTAGAAAATACACTCACATACATATATGTGAATATGAGTATAGACACACCCACAATTATATCTGTTTATATATTTAAAAGCATTCTAGAGGGGAGGGGGTGGGAGGATGGGTTAGCCTGGTGATGGGTATTAAAGAGGGCACGTATTGCATGGAGCACTGGGTGTTATACACAAACAATGAATCATGGAACACTACATCAAAAACTAATGCTGTAATGTATGGTGATTAACATAACAATAAATTTTTTTTAAAAAGCATTCATTTCCATTAACACTTCTTTTTTTTTGTTTTTTTTAAGATTTATTTGCGAGAGAGACAATGAGAGACAGCATGAGAGGGAGGAGGGTCAGAGGGAGAAGCAGACTCCCTGCTGAGCAGGGAGCCCAACACGGGACTTGATCCCGGGACTCCAGGATCATGACCTGAGCTGAAGGCAGTCGCCCAACCAACTGAGCCACCCAGGCGCCCTTCCATTAACACTTCTAAATCTAATAGTATATAGTTTATTCTCGTGTTCTCCATTACCCCTCATGTATTTCTTGACTTATCCATTCCTCTTGTATATAAACAAGCTCTTAGCCACCCCAGCCTAAAACTCAGACCCAAACACAATGCTCCCTGCACCTCCCCCTGACTTGCCCCCAACTGATCCTTGCCTGGCCAGGCCCATACAGAGCAACAACTCTGCAAAGTGGGGACCCACCTTCTTTCTGATATTGTGCAAATTCCTGAACCCCGCTCTTTCTCCTCAGTCTCCTCATTAAGACTGTTGTGCTCTGCGTGGGTTTCCAATTCATGAACTGGCAGAAAGCTATCACTGTTGAGCTCACATAAAAGCTACCTATTTCCTGATGTTTAAGAACAACTGTTTCAGCTATTTCCTCCAGCTTTTTCGTTGTTTCCAGTGGAAGGCCTCATCCAGTACCAGTTATTCCAACCTGGCTGGAGGTGGAAGTAGCCTCAGTATTATTTCTTCACTTCCCACAAGGAAGATCAGAATTTAGCTTTCCTGTGTCACTCTTGTTCCTCACCCACCCTCCCAATCATGAAATAGATTATTTCCTTTCTCCCGGTTCTGTTGTAGTTATATTACTATGACCACGGAGATATTTATTCTCAGCTGAGCCATAATTAATGTACTTTTTAAAAAACTTGGGGTGCCTGGGTGGCTCAGTTGGTTGAACGTCTGATTCAGGTCATGATCTCAGGGCCCTGGGATTGAGCCCCGCATCGGGCTCCCCACTCAGCAGCAAGTCTGCTTATCCCTCTTCCTTTCCCTCTGTGATCTCTCTTGTTCTCACTCTCTCAAATAAATAAATAAAAATAAATACATTTTTATTTCTCCAGTTTTAATAATTGTCTCATTTTGCCTTTTGGTTTGTTTGGTTAATCTTCCCTCATATTTTTCTTTCACTGTGGTATCTACCAGCCCAGCTCTATCACTGTGTATGTATATGGATTCAGACATTTTTACTACATTTGGAAGCCATGGAATTATAGAAGGGATTGTGTTTTGTTTTTGTTGTTTTTTTTTTAAAGATTTTATTTATTTATTTGAGAGCGAGCGAGAGAGAAACAGCATGAGAGGGGAGAGGGTCAGAGGGAGAAGCAGGCTCCCCGCTGAGCCGAGAGCCCAATGTGGGACTCGATCCCAGGACCCTGGGATCATGACCTGAGCCAAAGGCAGTCGCTTAACCAACTGAGCCACCCAGGCGCCCAGGATTGTGTTTTATGGATTGAACTTGAAGTGCCACATTTTTTCTTTTAAAAGAATTTATTAGAGAGAGAGCAAGAGAGAGAACACGAGCAGGTTGGGGAGAGGGAGAAGCAGACTCCCCACTGATCAGGGACCCCAATGCAGGGCTCAATCGCAGGACCTGGGATTGACACTTAACCTACTGAACCACCCAGGTGCCCCATGAAGTGCCACTTAAAAGACATAAGAGATTTAGATTTGGATATAGAGTATCAGTTAACTTGGGTTAGGATGAGTTTATATAATACTGGACTTTTTCCTTTTTTCATAGCATTCATAAAGTAGTAGTTTATTCAAGATGTTTATAATTGTGTTTAATTAACATTGGTGGTCAGTGAAATAACCCTAGATTATTTAGATTGTTGGTATAGACCACTTACTGCCTTGCTGCTACACAATTAGTAGAAGTAATATATAAATCTTGTGGTGGCTCCCTTTCATTGGTATAAGCATGTCAGTCTTAGGAACCTTCTGATTTGAAATAAATGTTTCATATTCCTGAGGGTAGAAACTAGGGTTGTAGCTTTTTAAAAACTGACTTAGGAATTTTTCATTTTTTAAGGAAATTAAAGCCAATGTTTATTTCTTATAAATTCTGTTTATGAAGATAATTTAGGCTTTCAAACATGGAAGCAAGGTTCTAATAACATATAATGTAAAAAATACTGATAGGTAGCACATTTAAAATATTTGTTTTAGGATATTTTATTTTCAATATCTTTGAACTTCCGCCTCACTGTGGGAAGAGGAAAATGGAAGTTGGAAGTACATTATAAGCAGCTAAATGTTACAGCTCTTTGTTCACTTTCCACAGATGGACGGAAACCGTTTCCAATTAACCATGGGGAAACTAGCGATGAAACTTTATTAGAGGTAACAACAAAACTTGTTGGCCTACTTTAAGTGTTACTAATGTTCTTGTTATCTTTAAAATATCTCTAAAGAACTCTTAAATAACATTTTCTCTGAATTTGGATCCTTACACTCTTGAGAAAATCCAAAAAGAAAATTCTGAGTTAGTGTTAAAAATCTACAGCAAATGAAGAGATTTTCAGAGCTCTTTGTGTGAACAAGTATCAAATTTGAAAAAGGTAATAGTATTGAAGATTTGCACATCTTATCTCATATTTCACTGAATCCAAGATACCATCGTTTGTATCTTGATCCTGATTTTAGAGACTTTTAGATTTATGAACAAATTATGTGGCTAAGAAATAGTAATTTTCAAGTTAAAGGTTTCTTTAAAGTACTTTAAGAAAGAACACTTACTATATCTTACAGTTTTGTACTAAGCAAATTAGGCTACCAACCATTCACTCTTCTGGTGTGTGCTTTAAATTATTTTGCATTTGGAAAAAGAAGTCTGATGTAAGATTAGTATGAATTAGGAAAATGTGAAACACTTATTTATCATTTGAAAGGAAAACACATGTTTATAAAGTGAAAAACTACACATTTTTTCCCCATAGGATGCCATAGAAGTTTGCAAGAAGTTTATGGAACGTGACCCTGAGGAATTGAGATTCAACGCCATTGCTCTATCTGCAGCATAGCTGGTCAGTGATGGAAACACCCAATACTGTGTTATCTGCAACAAAAATTAAATTTCTCCTGCCATACACTAACTCAAAAATTTTGATATTTTCATTAACTTGACTGATTAAACTTTATGTGAATTAAACTTTGACTTAATCTGTGTTTTATTTCTGTTGCACATTAAAGCTGTCATTCTTTTCTCCCCTTTCTTTCTTGTGAACGACTTACCTTGTCTGAGGACTAGCGATAACTTTCTTACTCTCTTTTAAATTTCATGGGAGATTTTGTCTTGGGTACAGGTACAGTTTCCATCTGCATAGTATAAATATATGATATATCACATATTTTGACATATTTCCTTAACAAGCAGTTGTGGAGCATCGACTTGTCATGAGCTGGACTGAACAGAACAGAAAAAGGCATTTGGATTTATTGCAAGTGTGATGGTAAGCCATGGAAGGTTTTAAGCAGGAGAGTGACCTGATTTGACTTACAATCTTAGAAGATCATCTTGACTCCTCTGTGGATAATATATTAAGGAGCGGGTAAGAATGGAGGCGGAGAGATTTGTGAGGAGGTCAATGAGCAATGAGCGATGGTGATGGCTCAATCTTAAAAGAAGTGGTAATTTAGACAGAGCTATGTGTGTGAATTTGATGTGTGTTTTGAAGAAGGGAGGGCTTCAGCTGCGTCTTAAAGGATAGGTGGAAGGCAGAGGAAAGGTGGAAGAGTATAGAGTTGGGTCAAAACACAGGGTTAGTGTGATGGCAATGCCCTGTATTTTGGGGCGGGGAGAGTATTGGTTACACAGGTGTATGCAATTATCAAAACTCATTGACTTGTTCATTTAAAATCTGTACTTCACTGTATATATATTTAACTCAAAAAAAGAAAAAATACAGAGTTGGGTTGGAATGAGTATAGCAGTTAGGAGAAAGACCAAATTGGTCTGGAATGAAGTTCTGGAACAATCACTGAATGTAAATGTGTATACCTGATTCACTGAGGTAACCTAGATTCCTGAGGCAGTGACCTGAGATAAGTGGTATTTTAGAAAGAGTAATGGGGCAGTGACTTACAGAATGGATTAGATCTATGTTACTCAAAGTGTTACATCAGCATTACCTAGGAACTTGGTAAAAAATAATTATTTCAGACCCCACCCTAGACCTACCAAATCAGAACTTGGGTTTTCGACAAGATCCCTGGGCAATGAATATGCATATTAAGTTTGGGAAGCACTGGATTAGAAAAAAATAGACTATAATGAGGAGGATCACTTTGGAAGACCTTTAAACTCCTTATGCTGAAGAGTGCCTGAATGAAGTGATGGCAATAGGGATGAAGAAATCATCTGAAACAACTGATAGTGTATGGGGATGGTGCTTCTGTCCTACCAGTAACAACCAAGTGTTCTACTCTTTTGTTCCATCATTTATTTGCATTTTGAACTCCCATCTACTTTGTATATTATCTTAAAATTTTAAGTCTTCCTAAACAGCTCTCTGCCTGTTGCCTTGCTGAATTTCTCCTAGCATTTATTACCAAAAGTTTACATTATTTCTCAGAGTTTGCTGTGATGCATACTAATTTTTCAGACTTAATGAGCAAGAAGGGTTTGAAGTTCCGTATCTGTTGAAAACATTGGGTTAAAGTTAATTAAAAAAAATAGTTATATTGGGTGGGGGCAATTGCAGAACTCAGAGCTTTTTTTAAAAAAATCTGTGTATTATGAATGTAATTTTCTAGACATTTTATGGAGCAACATTTAGGACTGGCATTCTTTTGCACACATTAGGATGCTAGTTCCTTGTGAAACTCAAAATTTGAAAATTTTCTCTTAGGTTTATGTCTAGGATTTTAGTCCTACTACTGTATTAACTATAATACTCTGTTTAGTAACTTTCTTAAAATTTAGCACTTGTAGAAGAAATTGATCGTTAATTTTGTATAGAAACTTGTAGAGAGACACTAAGGGTGGTCAAGTCATGGGTAATTTCTGGAACTTGTTAATGACTTAATATATTTGGGGGAAATAGAACTAAATAGAACTGAAACTTTAAATGTTTTTACTTGGACTTTTGGGAATTGACTAAACATCACCTTTCAGTGGGCATAATGGTTTGCTTTGAAGTATTGGAATAGAATTTATGATATCCATATTTAACCTCTAATATTTTCCATGTTCATTTGTGACTAAACCAGAAGTTATCTGTATTCTGGGGTGAATCAAATTTTAATATGTCTTAAATGAAAACCATTTTTAATACCATATAAAAATTATTTAAACCTCATTTAAATTTCGTTTCATTCCATCTTAGATTTGTGTACAGTGCTTATTAGGTAAGCTTTGTAATTGGGTTGTGTATAACACATAACCTGCTTATTTCATTTTGAAAATAATATAGTTTAAGAGATTTTCAGCTATTATCCGTCTACCATAATATCTTTCAAAGTAACATCTGTAGGCTTATGATTCTTATATTGGTGCTTGTGAGAAAATTGCAAAAAGTAGTATTTTCATCACTTTTAAAACATTTTTCTGTCTGTAGAAATTTCTTTTAGAGAAAGCTTACATATATGTATATATGTGTATGCACACACATATATTTGTACATATGTTTATATTTTTGTGTATATATCATTATCTGGGAACTAACAAATATATAGATATGTATATGCATGTATATATATGTGCACACATATGTTCACACATTTGTACCTTGAATAGGCAAATAACTTTGGTCTAAATTCTCTGTGGATTATTTAAATCCTTTAATATGAAATTAAAGTAAAACCACTTTGAAAAGTATGTAATCATTGCAGAAGGTTTTTAGCTAATTTAGAAGGATTTGTACACACATGTATAAAGTTTAATAGTGTCTTTATTAAGATTCTCTGGTAAGATCTTAAAATGAGGTTCCTTGTACTCTCAACAAAATTACTACTAAAAACCAAGTGTGGAAAATACTGAGTTTTCAGAAAACCAAAAGTAAGTTTTGTCATTTCTTTTGCTTCTTTTGATTTCAGAGTATGACCTGCATAAACTGTTGTGATGTAGATGATTCAGTGTAATGAACATTGATTGTCTTGGTGCCAATGGTGCCAGCCGATCAGACCAATCCCCATGCCTTAGTTTCCTGTATATTTTTACTTGTTTTGCCTTTAAATAAAAGTTATTCTAAGTCTTTCTCCAGACTTCTCTAAGATAGTGGTTCTGAACCTGTCTGTTGCTTCCACCTACATTATAGGTGAGTGTCCCCAGTATGACATTGTCCGTAGTCCACACCTAGATAATACATGGGAAGTTATGTAGACAATAAAGGCTATATAGTACGAGCATTACCTTATTGTCTAATTGTTGGGCTGGTTGGGAATCCTTGGTTTAGAGGCATTAAATATACATAACCTATACTAACAGCTATTTTGCAAAATCAATTATTTAAAAGGCTTAGGGGGCCTGGGTAGCTCAGTGGGTTAAGTGTCCGACTCTTGATTTCAGCTCAGGTCACGATCTAAGGGTCATGAGATTGAGCTTCGCGTTGGACCCCACACTCAGCAGTCTGCTCCAGGTTCTCTCTCTCCCTTTCCCTCTGCCCCTCCCCCTGCTCTATCTCTAAAATAAATAAAATCTTTAAAAGGCTTAGAAATATATAATAAAGCCTTTCTAATCTATAAGACAGCTATGAGTATAAATTGAATTATTTAGAATAAAAATCCATGTGGTCAAGAATAAATCTCAAATAATGTGAATGACACATTTTAGTTGATTCAAAATGTGCCCTTTAACAACATGTGAACATAGTTGGTATTTAAATAACAGTTATGTTCAGTAGTGTATCCTTCTAGAGCTAAAGGATAAAGTCTCTGTCCTGCACATGTTCTGTAAGAACAAGATGAAAAATTGCTTGAGGCTTTATTTGTATCCTAAACATGAAAGACTTGCAACGCATGCAAAGGTTGTAAATTAGACCATTTAAAAATGTCCTAAAACCTGTTTGCTGAAAAGTTGTGCTGCATACTGAGAGTTTAATTACTGTAGTAGAAGATGACAACAGGTTACATTTGCATTTTCTTTTAGGGCTAAGCAGTAGAAAGTTATTTTTCTTTATTCCGCCTCCAGTGTGAAGTATTTGGAGCCAGAAGTTCATCCTGTTCTTCATCACTACTAAAGAACTATACACATTTGATAATAGTGTACACAGTTAATGGGAATGTTACATTGTTCATATTTTTATGGTGGAGACCAAAGCATATTTCATGGTTTGGGTATAATTTAAAAGATGCATTCTTCTGAGAAATTGATTTCTTTTATAAACAAAATGCAAATGCCTTAAATATTTCTTCATTTAGTGTGATAAATAGAATTACTTTTAAAGCCATAGTCTGGTATGGCTTGATAATCAGGTACACATGAAGTATTCAAGATAAGAGCATAATGGTATTGATTTTAAGAACTTTAGAAAATATTCCTTGTGGGCAAAGAAAGACAGAAGGAATGTTTAAAGCCAACTGTTCACCTTACTGTTCTAATTTTTACCTTGTTGTTTTCCATTTTCAGGAGACAAGAGCGTATATCATCTCAGATACTAAAAATATTCCTGTGAAAGCTTTTAGTTTTTCAGGCATAGTAGTCAACTATTGTTTTCTTATTGTGCATGAAATGCCTAGAGAAAGTGACGTCTTTAGCCAAATTAAAACATAGGATAGAAAATGCTTAGGCCAATTTATTCATGTCCCTCTGATATTAATTGTATAGTTGATAGCTATGTAGATTTTAGCAATTTGTTGAGCAACTAAGCTGGTTTCAAAATGGGATGTAGTTGCTCTCAAACTTTTCAGTCTCAGAAGCCCCTTCACATTCTTAAAAATTATTGAGGGGCCCAGAAAGAGAGAACTTTTATAGGGATGTTATCTGTTGACCTACAAATATTAGATATTAAGACACATTTTCAGAATATTAATTCATTTTAAAATAAAAATAAACCCATCACTTGTTAACATGAAGAACAATTATTATAAAAATAACTACTCTCTTTAAAAAGTCAGAATAGCAGTCAGTATTTTACATTTTTGCAAAATCTCTTTAATCTCTGACTTATGGAAGACAGCTGAATCCTCCTATCTGATAATGAATGAAAAGTG